TTGAAAACTAAGGTGCCACTGTACAATGAAATTAGAAAGTAGAAATCGTCACTATTTAGTTGGACAAACAGGAAAAGTATTTTCTACATATGTTGCAAAGACAAACTAACCTAACCTAACCTAACCTTCTTAGGCCTAATATATGATATCTGAGACCTAACATAGTACATGTGTGTGCTATACTAGGTCTAGGAATATTTAAGCTTGTACTCTGAGAGGAGCCCCATTGGCTCCCTGAAGCTATCAAACTGACATGTGCCATATTAGTTTGGTGCCATCAGTCCTTGGAGTTTCGAGGGCCTGCTGAGGGCCACGATCCAGAACCTGGCCCCCCCCCTCAGAGAGGTGATGGGAGCAATGGCCATATGAGCTCTCAATATGTAGAGTGTGTCATGTCTGCCATCGACTGGGAAAGGCACCTAGAAAGGTAGGTGAACCATTACAAACCTCTTAACTGGGTAAAATTGCATCCTATATCAGAACAGAGGCACAGAACTCCCCCCCATCCCCCATAGAAAAGAAGGAAACAAGCAAGCAACAGCGCCTTACTCTTCCCCCAGTCAGGGGGGAGGGGGGGGTCCCTGCTCAGGCAAGCAGGCCGCACCACCCTCAGTTTCTAGACTGACGTGTTAGGTGTCACATGTCCTCTCTGGCCTCAATTTATTGTCTGGTTTTGCACTTGTGACTTTGCCAGCTGTGTTGTGTGGTGGCCAGGTGTTCCTACAAGTATACTGAGCTGCATGCGCCTAAAGTTCCCTTCCCTAGGTGCCTAGTAAGGTGCCAACTTTCCTTGTGGGTCAGGTTTTCCTTCCCTGGGTGATTTGGGTCTCACTCCCATTTGAGGACTTCATCGCTTGGTGTGGTTCTTGCCCTTGGGGTTCGCCGGGGGGGTCTTGGGCTTCCCCATCTTGCCCCAGGTAGGGAGTGGGTTTGAGCTGGGTGATGCGCACTGCGGCCGGTGCAGCTTGCATTCAGTAGCGGCCGAGGATTCTCTCTGGGAACTGGTTAGTCTATGTGTGTTGCTTTGGGGTTCATTCTGCATTCTGTAGAGAGCCCCTCCAGCTCCCTGTAGCTATACAGGGCTGATATGCATATATATTTGACTGTGGCATCAGTCAATTTGATTGCAGTTCTAGCCTACCGAGGACCACAAGCCAGAACCTTGCCCCCCTCAGAGAGGCACGAGGAGCAGTGGCCTATAGAAACCACCATGTGGTTAGAAGCATTCTATGTCTGCCATCTACCAGGTAAGGCACCCAGAAAGGTAGGCGTTCTAAAACGGACTCCACCTGGTTAAAATTGTGACCAAAAGCCGAACTATCAAGCAGAACTTCACAATCTGAAAACACGCAAACAAGCATGACATCACAACCGCCGCCACTCTACTGTGTATGTGCAGCTCCCCCATCCCTGGGAGGGTGAAGGGGGGGACCCAGACCCCTTGTGCCGGCTACCCAACCCCAGTTCTGAGGCTGATGTGTTGTGTGGTGGTTGTTTGACTCTCGCTCCTGTCTCTGTGTGCAGTGCTGTACCTTTCTGGTATTGTTCTGCAGTGTGATGGTTTGCAAGCCAGGAGTAATTCACAGAGTACTGGGCTGCATTCCCCTAGAGCCACCTTCCCTAGGTGCCCTGTAAGTACTACCCTTGTGGCTTGGGATTACCTTCCACAAGTCGTTCAGGAACTACTTCCATAGGGATCTTTTTCTGCTTGGTGATTGCCCACCCTTGGGGTCAGCTGGGGTTTTCATTTCCGCTCTTTGACCTTGAGTAGGAGGTAGTATCGTCGCTGGTAGGAGCGCAAGGTACTGTGCAACTTGCCACCTATTACACAGTGGCATAGATCTTTTAATAGATCTCTTTGTAGTTGGGCTAACCGGTTAGCAGCACCTTGCCTGGGCTTGCCTTGCCTGGGAAAGGGAAGGCTGAGCGGACTGCATTTTTTTGGACTGTCAGAAAGCCTTTGACACAGTCCCCCATAAGAGGCTAGTACATAAGCTGGAGAGACAGGCAGGAGTAACTGGTAAAGTGCTCCAGTGGATAAGGGAATACCTAAGCAATAGGAAGCAAAGAGTTACAGTGAGGGGTGAGACCTTAGATTGGCGTGAAGTCACTAGTAGAGTTCCACAGGGCTCTGTACTCATTCCTATCCTGTTTCTGATATACGTAAACGATCTCCCGGAGATTATAAACTCATTCCTCTCAATGCTTGCTGATGACGCCAAAATTATGAGAAGGATTAAGGCAGAGGAGGACTGCTTGAGGCTTCAAGAAGACCTAGACAAACTGAAGGAATGGTCGAACAAATGGTTGTTAGAGTTTAACCCAAGCAAATGTAATGTAATGAAGATAGGTGTAGGGAGCAGGAGGCCAGTTACAAGGTATCATTTGGGAGATGAAATTCTTCAAGAGTCAGAGAGAAAGAGAAAGACCTGAGGGTTGATATCACGCCAGCCTGTCTCCTGAAGCCCATATCAACAGGATAACATCAGCGGCATATGCCAGGTTGGCTAACATAAGAACGGCATTTAGACACTTGTGTAAGGAATCATTCAGAACTTTGTATACCACCTATGTTAGACCAATCCTGGAGTATGCAGTCCCAGCATGGAGTCCATATCTAGTCAAGCATAAGACTAAACTGGAAAAGGTTCAAAGGTTTGCCACCAGACTAGTACCCAGGCTGAGAGATATGACCTACGAGGAGAGACTACGGGAATTAAACCTCACGTCGCTGGAAGACAGAAGAGTTAGGGGGGACATGATTACCACGTACAAGATTCTCAGAGGAATTGACAGGATAGATAAAGACAGGCTATTTAACACAAGGGGAACACGCACAAGGGGACACAGGTGGAAACTGAGTGCCCAAATGAGCCACAGAGATATTAGAAAGAATTTTTTTAGTGTCAGAGTGGTTGACAAATGGAATACATTAGGAAGTGATGTGGTGGAGGCTGACTCCATACACAGTTTCAAGTGTAGATATGATAGAGTGCAGTAGGCTCAGGAACCTGTACACCGGTTGATTGACAGTTGAGAGGCGGGACCAAAGAGCCTGAGCTCAACCCCCGCAAGTACAAATAGGTGAGTACAGCGCCTGGTTCTGTTCCTCCTGAAGATGTTGTACTTTTGCTGGGTTTTTCTTTTCTTTTTGTTTGTTGCCTGGTGGAGGGTTCTGCCCCTTGGTTATTGTCCACCCTCTGTTCTGTTCTGGTGAGTGCCCCACTAGCTCCCCGGGATTGTACATGTCGCAGGGATTCAGCTTTTAATAGATCTCTTTGTAGTTGGGCCAACCAGTTAGCAGCACCTTGCCAGGGCTTCCCTTAGCAGTCAGCTTAAAGGCCCTAGAAAACCCCCATTGGCACTCATTGGTCCAATGGATGCATTTTCTGGGTCCCATCTTGCTTTGTGTGAATTCGATGGTTGCTCTGTTTCCTTGTCTCAGGGGTGACATTCACCGGTTTTGCCTCCGTCATGCTGCCTGTTGGATCGGTGACACTTTTGATCCGGAGTCTTGTGAGTCTTGATTGTTTCTCCAAGGGTCTTTTCTTGTTGGCATTGGCCTCTGGGGGTCGGGTTGGGGAGCTTCATGCTCCTCTCCTGTGCAGAGGTTTCTGCTCTTTCGGTCCTGGTGGTAGGTTTGTTCATTTGCAGCCGTCTCCTTTTTTTCTGGCGAAGAATGAGACTGCTGTTTTTCATAAAGGTCCTTGGGTTGTTGATGCTTGGTTGATTCAACCGGGGGTGCATTATGTGTCGTATTCGGTCACGGCTCCACCGTTACCTGCGTGCCGCGGCCTCCGTGGCCGGGGATGCACTTTGGGTTGGTCCGGTTTCCCTGCTTCCCTATTCCAGGGTTCGGGTGTCTCAGGTCGTCTGCAGGTTATTTGGTCAAGTCAGTCTGCGGTCTTCTATCCTTGTGCCCACAGTATTCGTAAGTTTGCTGCATTGGCTGCCGTTTTCAGTAACATGTCTTGGGTTGACATTTGGGAGTGGGGTTTTTGGAGGTCGAACAGGGTCCTGGCCAACTCGCCTACCTTGTCAATGTTCCTGGGTCTAGTCGGACCTGTGTTGCTTTGGGTCGACAGTTGCAGCCAGTTGTCTCGACTTCGGATTGAGGAGCAAGTACCACCCACCTCCCGGATAAGTCCCTCTTGTTTTGTCTTTAGGTATGTAGCTCTGGGGGAGTCGACGGAGCTCCCTCCAGAAAATCAGCAATGAATGTAATGAAACACCATTTTCTGGGTGAGACCTGGAGGCTCCTCGGCAACCCTCCCTTCCTCCGGTCTGCATTTTTTTCATGGTTTTGACATCCAGCCTCAGAACTGCACGGTGAATAGCCAGCCCGGGGGCCTGGGGCTCCCCCTTTTCCCTCCTGTGGACGGGGGTTGCGCAGACAGCGATGCGATAATGTGGTGACGTCATGCCCGTTTGCTCATTTTCATTTGGGGAATTCTGTCCATTAGTTCAGCTTTCAGTAGCAATATTTTAACCAGAATAGGGGTTTGTATTGAGGTGCCTACGTTTCTGGGTGCCTGACCCGGTCGATGGCAGACAGAATGCTTCCAACCACATGGGGGTTTCTATAGTCCATTGCTCCTCGTGCCTCTCTGAGGGGGGCCAGGTTCTGGCTCATGTTCCCCAGTAGGCCTAAGAACTCCATTCGCTTTGACTGATGCCAGGGTCTAATATATTCATATCAGCCCAGATAGCTCTGGGCACCCCCAGCGGTTGGTTCAACTGCTGGGGGTCTCGCCCAGAAAACGGCATTTCATTACATTCAACGCTGATTTTTTAATTAGGCTATATTTGAATGTTTTTAATGTTTCATCACTCTGTGTTTGAAATGAAAAATGGTTGGGTTTGGAAACATTTTGACATTAACTTTACCTGAACATTTATAAAAACAACAAAAATATGTCCTTGACAATTGCACTATGAAGTCTTTGCCAAAACCAGGTGCGCAGTGCAGTGGTTAAATGTTTGCATCTTGTGTTCTTCAGACTCCCAGATGTGCCTCGACGACGAAGGCATGGTGGAATTGGAAGTAACTGCTGCCGACTCTGATGCTGGCGTCTCCAGTACACCCTTGGGAGAGAATTCTCATGGGTGTGTGACTGTTGTGAGTGCTAACCAAGTGGTAACATCCAGCTCTTCACTACTAGCACAGCACCAACACAGCCAGCCTCACTCACAAAAAGTCATTGCAACAAGTACCAGAGGTAAATAGAGTTTGTTGATAAATATTGTTAAGATAAATTAAGGTACTTATTATATTTAGATAGCAATAGAGAAGAGTTATGCATTTTCTGGTGGAGCCCCTTGTGTCTCCCTGACACTGTCTCACCAATACTGCTTCATGCAGCTGGGTCACATCAGATATGGGAGTTCCATTTAGCCTACCATTAACCAGAGCCAAAACCTGGCATGCCCCTCACAGAAACCCAGAAAGTGAGTGACAGTTGGCCACCTCACCAGGAAGTATCCAGAAAGTCGGCTAAGATTTACAGATAATTGGAGGGTAGCAACAAAGAGTGAAGTTTCAAAATTGTTAGACAACTCTGCAAATGATTCTTCTTGAGGTTATCTTGAGATGATTTTGGGGGCTTAGTGTCCCCGCAGCCTGGTCCTCGACCAGGCCTCCACCCCCAGGAAGCAGCCCGTAGCAGCTGTCTTAACTCCCAGGTACCTATTTACTGCTAGGTAACAGGGGCATCAGGGGAAAAGAAACATTTTGCCCATTTGTCTCCACCTCCACTGGGGATCGAACCTGGAACTTCAGGACTACGAATCCGAAGCGCTGTCCATCCAGCTGTCAGGCGCCCTGATTGATTCACGGAGAACAAGATTCAAAATTAGGATGAAACTCATAGATACTAAATGCCACCACCAGGAAGCTTGGCTTCTGTGCACAGCCATCTTCCTGGGTCAGTTCTTATCTTACAGTTTAGTCTACTGTTGGTAGATATCTGCATTATCCTTACATTTGCCAATAAGTAGCTCAGACTGTCATGTTGTATCATCATATGGTTTATTTATTATACTGTACTTGCTTGCAACCAGTTGCATTACTTCTTTACTTGGGAATAAAGATAGCTTTTCAGTGGGGAGCCCCGTCAGCTCCCTGAAGCTCTCAAATTGACATGTGCCATACTAGTTTAGTGCCATCAGTCCTTGGAGTTTTATGCCTACCGGGGGCCACGAGCCTGAACCTGGCCCCCCTCAAAGAGGTGCAGGGAGCAAATGGCCATATGAGCACGCTACATTTAGAGTTTGTCATGTCTGCCATCGACCAGGGAAGGCACCCAGAAAGTTAGGCGAACCAATACAACTCTCAAACTGATTAAAATTGCAACCTACGTCCGAACAGAGTCAAAGAACTCGCCCTAAAAAACAATAAGGAAACAAGCAATCGTCATCCAACTAGCGCGCCCACTCAGGCGATCCGGTCGCACCAACCCCAGTTCATTGACTTATGTGCCGGTGTCCAGAAGTCCTCTCTGGCCTTATATTATTATCTGGCTTTGGCATTTTGTGCCTTTGCCAGCAGTGTTGTTTGGTGGTGGCCAGGTGTTCCATAAGTATACTGGGCTGGATGTGCCTATGGCTATCTTCCCCCTAGGTGCCCAGTAATTTCTTCCCTTACGTGTCAGGATTGCCTACCCCTGGGATGTTTGGGTCTCGCTCTCATTTGAGAGCTTCATCGCTTGATGTTGTTCTCACCCTTGGGGTCCGCTGGGGGTTTTGGGCTTCCTGTCTTGCCCAGGTAGGAGGTGGGTTTTTGTTGGGTGAGGCGCACTGCAGCCAGTGCAGCTTGCTTTCAGCCGCGGCCGACAATTCTCTCTGGGGACCAGTTGGTTTGTGTGTTGCTTCGGGGTCCTTTTTTGTTTTCTTTGTTTTCTTAGCACATAATCGCTTACCTGCCGGAGGTGGTCTGCCTAGTTTCCCATTAGGCTAGCCTAGGTTGTGTTGGTGGTCCTCCTCTGTTACCCCGAGGTTTTATGGTGACCACTGGTTGTCAGTTTGCCTGCAGCAGACACGGATTACCGGCTGAGCTGGCCCCAGTGCCTGGGCTTTCTGTAGGGCAAACGTACCCTACTGGTCCTGGAAAACCCTATGGGGCTAGGGTGTACCATGACTCTTCCGAGCCCTGTCTCGCCTTGTGTAATGCCGAGGGTTGTTCGTTGCCTTTGCCTCATGGTGATGATCATCCATCCTGCTTCTGTCATGCTAACTGTTGTGTCAGTGAAACCTACGACTCTGAGTCTTGTGAGACGTGTTCCGTACTTGTTATTCACTTTACCCATTCCTCATCTGAGGATATTAGGGGTCAGGTGGTGGCTTGGTTGCATGCTATGTATTCTGTGTTGCAACCAGGTTGGTTGCCCATTTGGAAGCTCCGGAGCTGCCCCGTTTGGATTTTAGGGACCAGGATTTAGGGGATTGGTTACTTCAACCTTGGTTGAGTCCATTCCTCCGTGCTTCCTTCCCAGGTGGGTGTTGTTCACCCTGCTCCCTACCCCCTGCTTTAAGCTTCCAAAAGTCTGAGGGTTCCTGGGCCAGGGCATGGTGTAACTTGGAATGAGGCTCGGGTGGCTTCGGGGGTTGCCCCTTCCAAATTGTGGGCAGATGGAGATTGCGCTTGATTTCCCCACTGAGGCTTCAGAGTAGCCCCAGCAGGCACCTCTCTTTAAAGCTTCCCCCCCCCCCCCTGGACCTGCCTTTTCTTTAAGGGTGGTGGGCGTGGATATGGGCTCTGCCCCCAGTGGCCTTTGTTGGGGGTTCCTGGGGCATGGGGAGAGTCCATTTTTAGTGCTTGGACTCCTTTTTATCCTGCCTGGGCCCTTGTGCCTTCTGGGCAGGGTTTGTTACAGGTCCAGGGGTTTTCGTATCCTCCAACTCTATGTGAATTTGAGTTGGGTGCGGCTCCCCCTCTGGGTACCTTTGGGTTCCTTGGATACATCCTTCTGGTGTTTCCTTCCTCTCAGATTTCCTCTGCAGAAGTGCAGGAGGCCCTTGGTTTGTACCTCCTGCGAGATCCGGTTTACACCCCAATAATGGACCCGGCTTCCTTTGAGTTCGATTCTTCCTCCCCATTTTGAGTGCGTTACGAGGTTCCAGTGTCTTCCTGGCTGGCGAACTGCACTTTCTTTTCTTTGGGAATTTGGCGAGGGTTTTGCTGGACCTGCCCGTTTCAGTGGCGAGAGGGTTCCTCAGTGTTGCTGGTATTCGTGGGGTGCTCCTTGGAGTTCCTCAACGAGTGCTTCTTCACCCCCTGCACTTTCCTGTGATGTGAGTCTGGTGCAGTTACATGCACAGGTCCCCTCCCTTTCGGTTGCCTTGGCGGTGGATAACCATCGAATTCGGAGTTATTTGGCTTTGGTCTTAACCACTGCACTGCACAATGTGCCTTGAGGCACTTGATGGGTGGTGTGCAACGTGCCTCAGGGCGTTCATGGGTATAGCATAGTATTCAAAACACCAGTGGCTACACAGGGTTCATGTCAGCTTCCTCAGGGCTCTTGTCATTGCTTGTCATTGGGCTCAGATGCCATTTTTTTCTGGGGGGAGCCCCATCGGCTCCGTGGAGCTAGCCAGGTTGATATGTTAATGTCAGACTTTGGCATCAGTCATGTGTATGGAGTTCTTTGGGCCTACTGGGACCATGAGCCAAAACCTGGCCCCCCTCAAAGAGGCATGAGGAGCAATAGCCTATAGAAACCCCCATGTGGTTACCTTACCTTGAGGTGCTTCCAGGGCTTAGCGTCCCCGCGACCCAGTTGACTCGTCGACCAGGCCTCCTGGTTGCTGGACTGGTCAACCAGGCTGTTGGACGCAGCTGCTCGCAGCTTGACGTACAAATCACAGCCTGGTGATCAGGTGGTCAACCAGACTGTTGGATGTAGCTGCTCACAGCCTGATGTACGAATCACAGCCTGGTTGATCAGGTATCCTTTGAAGGTGTTTATCCAGTTCTCTCTTGAACACTGAGGGGTCGGCCAGTTATGCCCCTTATGTGTAGTGGAAGCGTGTTGAACAGTCTCGGGCCTCTGATGTTGATAGTTCTCTCTCAGAGTACCTGTTGCACCTCTGTTTTTCAACGGGGGTATTCTGCACATCCTGCCATGTCTTCTGGTCTCATGTGATGTTATTTCTGTGTGCAGGTTTGGGACCAGCCCCTCTAATGTTTTCCACGTGTAAATTATTATGTATCTCTCCCGCCTGCGCTCAAGGGAATACAGATTTAGGCTCTTTACTCGGTCCCAGTAGTTTAGATGTTTTACTGAGTGGATTCTAGCAGTAAAGGATTTCTGCACATTCTCTAGGTCAGCAATTTCTCCAGCTTTGAAAGGGGCTGTCATTGTGCAGCAGTACTCCACTCTAGAGAGCACTAGCATTTTGAAAAGTATCATCATCGGTATAGCATCTCTAGCGTGAAAAGTTCTTGTTATCCAACCTGTCATTTTTCTTGCAGTTGTGCAGGCTACTTTAGGTTGTTCTTTAAAGGTAAGGTTTTCCAATATGAGTACACCCAGATCCTTTACATTGCCTTTTCGTTCTATGTTATGATTTGCCTGAGTAGGGTTTGTTTTGGGGCGTTTACCTTTCTGGGTGCCTGACCCGGTCAATGGCAGACATAGAATGCTTTCAACCATGTCAAATGCTGGTCAAATTGCTAGAGAAGATGGAAACACAGTGGCCTCTCTACCAGAGCCTCAGATATTAACACCAAATAAAGCATCCAGCACTTCCACAAACACGATAACATCATTTATATTTGCCAACATCCAGGGTATAAAACATGCAAATCCAACAATGTTCATTTTATAGATGGTCTCTTTCATGAGGCAAATGCAGTGTTTGCAGCCCTAGCGGAAACTCACACAAAGGACTACCATGATGGTGAAATATGGATCTCAGAGTACAATCTTTTCAGATGTGACAGGAAACACCGGCTACAGGGTGGAGTTAGCCTCTACATCATGGACACACTCATCTGTATTGAGCTGCTAAACACCTCAAATGATATGGTGGAAGTGCTGATAATCAAAATAGAGATCCTAAATGTAGTTATTGTCCTTGTATATAAGTCACCAGAGGCAAACCCTCAGCAGTTTAAAGACCAACTAATGAAAATAGAACACTACTTTTAAAACCTCACAAATCCAGCCCCGCACATCATCCTGCTTGGGGACTTCAAACTAGCAAATAGTAGAACCAG